AGTGGTCTATAGAAATCTATGTGCATTGATTACTTGATGGTTGATTGTTTGGGTTTTTTGGTGTTTTGTTTTTTTTTTTTCCAAAGTAGAAAAACATTTCAAGTATTATAAAAAAATAATATAAATGATTTTTTCTTTCTAGCCTCTTGTGAAGCAGTCGCCCTGGAGCAATCAGAGCAGCGGCTGGAGCACAGGAAATATATCCTGGGGAGGAATGCATGGCAGAGACCATCGTAGAACTGGAAACATGGGAATTCCAGGGACTATGAACCAGATCTCTCCCTTGAAGAAGCCCTTTTCTGGTAATGTCATAGCTCCTCCTAAATTTACTCGCTCCACTCCATCACTGACACCAAAATCGTGGATTGAAGATAATGTTTTCCGAACTGACAACAACAGTAATACTCTCCTTCCTTTGCAGGTAAGGATGGTGTGTAACTGGTGTGTTCATAGTCTTACATAGTATTTTGGCATTGTTCATTTTAAAGGAGAATTAAACAGTGGTTACAGCCCTGATACTTGGTTTGAAAATTATATATTTTTGTATTATTTTTAGTCCTAAATTGCAACTAACCCAAACATTTTCAATGTATTCAGCAATATATGATTCTTACAGTTAATTAAGAATATTGACTGTCAAGCTAGATAGAAACTGTAACCACTGACGCAGCAATAGAGCAAAATATCTTTAATCTAGTAAGAATTTTCTGCCTATGGTAACGCTCATATTCTTGTACATCCCTTTAAAAGTCGGGATTTTTTTGTTCGATTGTCCTTGTACATAGGTTTTCTTACTTTTGTAGGTGGCTCTGAAGTCTGTCATGTTCGTCTTTTACTGGTATTCTAGGCTGACATTCGCATGTTAGTGACGCTTTTTTCCCCTCCACATTCTAGCAATTTCTATGTTACATTTTGGCTGGAAGTCCTGTGATTTAGAACTATTAAACAGGAGGATGTGTCTTAGAACTAAAGATCTGTGTGCACCTCCTGAATTTTGCTAGTGACATTTTATGTGACTTTTAAGCCACTTAGCTCCAGCCTAAGTTACCTGTTGGTAAAATGATTTTTTTCCCCATTGCTGCCTATATTCATTTAGTCATAACATTTCTTGTTAGCAGAGACCTTTATTGTTTTTGATCCCAATCTCAGTTGCCATTCTAGCAATTTTTAGGTTTTGCACATTTTTTTTAAGTTACACAAAAAAAAAAAGCTTAGGCAACTTATTTTAGAAATAATGCATTTTAAAATAGAAAGCAGATTATTCCATTAGTTCTGTACATTCTTTAATTTTCATTATGCCTGTGTCAGCTTAATTTTTTGTCCCATACTGAGCTACTATACTTCAGCAAAAGTAAAAAAGACAATATGCAGAGAAAATAATTAGAATGTTTCTTTATCTCCTCATAAAGCTACTATAGGTGGTTTTTTTTAGGTTTCACAGAGTAACCTGGAGTTTCATTTGTTGTAAGTGTGACCATATTTGAGTTTGTCCAACTGTACTTGGATCAATTAGCAAGCTAATCCTTATGTAGCTCTAATAGTGGCAAAAGGGTGCTCCCTAGGATGAGATTTCGCACTAGAGTTCCTGTTTTTCTTACCATTTTTGCTGGTGGAGTTCCATTTGGCGTAAGAGGCCATGTCCCAACTCTATCCAGATGAGCTCTGATACTTCCAGTATTTTTGAGGGTAGTGGTGACTTTTGGACATACCTAAATTCTGCTCGGGGAAAAGAAAAGGTGCCAATCTTTACGTATTCAACCTGATCTGTTAAAGAAAACGGATTACAGATAAGTAATGCTTTGCAGTGGAGGGCTCCAAGAGTAATTGAGAGTAAACACTGAAATGTCTCCCGAAGATGTTAGCCTGAGGGACAGGGTTAAAAATGTTAGTGCTGTCATATGCTGAAACTGCAGTGCTGTATATGTTGGAATTCATATGGAGCTAAGCACAACTGAATATATTTACTCCTTCAGTGTTACAGTGTGAATGTGTTTACTCCTTCAGTGTGCCTTACGAGTCAGTATGGCTATTTGAACTTTCAGAAGCTTCTATAGCAGTCATCTAATACAGATGAACTCATTTTATGTCTAAAGAAAAGTCTTGTGCATTCCAACTAGAGTCTAAATCATTTCTGTCTAGTAGGACAGAAAAAAATCCTTCTGATTTAACTTTATAATAAATTACATTAACGTTTCCATTTGGGATTATTGGGGTTTTTTTAAGAGATAGTGTCAAAGAGAGAAGGTGGGCACACTTAATTGTTGTTGGTCTTGCCTGTGTGCACCAGAGCCACCAATGAAATAGACCTGTGTGCCTGTATTTATGTGGTAGATCTATGTATGCTTCAGTCTCCCTTATATGTATAAAGTTATAGTTGCAGAACACAGTAAAAATGCTCCTCTTTGAAGGGTTGCAGTGTTATCTACTGCTATTGTGGAAACACTAGATGCTGCCATAAATTATTTTGCTACACTGAAATCGTGTTCTGATATTTTTAGTTATTATACTATTGTCATACGGTTAATTCCTTGTGATGACTGTTACATTTTGCAAGTCATAATGAAAAAGTTAAATAGAGCTTGGAGCTCGTGCTTCTTTTCATGAGGAGTTGTGTTGGCAATTGCGATGCTGTCAAACACCCATCTTGCTAATTTGTACTGTGCTTGTCTCCTTCCATAAAAGGCTGAGGTATTTAGATTGAGGCTTCTTAAAGATACAGTAGCAATTTCAGAAGATACTAAAAAATAGCAGTCATTAAATTTTGTGCCATTTGAAAGTCTTACACGAAAGCATTTATGTGTAGGTAGAAGTTACCTATTTCTTCCAGGCTTCCTCAGTGTGAACACATTTTAGCATGCATGTTGAATACCTACAGCATCATTCACAGTGTTGCAGAATACTTTTCCGCATGATCACGCATCTTTGTGCAAATTGCTGTAATCATTCTGTGTGGCAGGGGACAAAGCACCTCTCTTCCAAACTTTAGCTAGCTCAAGCTTAGCAAATGAAAACAGCTTAGAAAAGCCAGTGTCCGCACTGACTAACTTTCTGTAAATCATTAATGTTCTGCAACCATTTTTTAAAATGCTGTATATTTTTTGCTAAGTCAAAATGGCATTCAGCAGTGTCAGCTGCTCATCCAGTTTCTGTAAAATACGTATCTGATGCAAACAAGATAAGCCACACAGGAGTCGGATACAAATTCGGAGCTTTAACCTTCCATGAAACGTCTTAGTTCTTTGGCGTTTGCATTGATGGGTGGTCTCCAGTATAGAACTAACATTGATTCTGATGAAAGTAATGTTTGTTGGTATTAAACTAATATAAAAGTGACAACAAATGTCATTACTGATAACTGAATGAGTAATTATGTGTATTAAGTAAAGAAAATCAGATTTTCTGTACTTCATAGTTAAAACTGAAACGTATCCCCTGTGAAGTTGAATTCACAGTGGCCACATTAGTTACAGCAAAGCTGCTTTGGCTTACAACAGTTGTGAAGGACATCTCTCGGGAATTTTCCAAAGTCCAAGATTTTTTGGTTTGTTTTTAAATGAAGGTAGTTAAACATCATGGCAACACGGGCTTAAACATGAGCAAGTTAAGCCAATAGTCAAGTTTTTCTTATGTGACTTACTGTAAGAAGCTTTTTTTCCTCCCTCAGGTTTTTAAGATAACACAAACTACTTCAGTTAAAGTTCTTTCATAGACAAAATTATGTCTGCAAGTTTAAGTTCTGCCATACTGCTTGTGCCATTATAGGTACTTCATATAGGGAAGGGATTGTTGCCTTGTACCAGAATCATTAAGAAACGGTTAGAAATCTTGTCAGGTATTCCCACCATCTAACTTAAGCATTTAATTGAGGAGCCTATGTCTCTCTCCTTAAAGAGAATCTAGCCTCCTTATTTAGATAAGCTAATTTTCTAGGAGAACATACCTGGCACCGCTGACAGTATGCAGCCTCTGGGATTCCCGTTTAGGCACTTCCATTGTATGTCAGGAAGTCAGACAAAGTGAATATTCTTTCTTCTTCCCTGATCTAAAGTACGAAACAAATTAATACAGGGTGTGAAGCTAAAAATATATTTCAAATCCTAGAGACTGTTTTTTTCCAAAAAAACCCACATGCTTCAGGCATTTCTGTGGCCAGAAGGCAAGCACAGAAGTCAGTGCTTTTGTGTTGGTGTTTTTTTTCATTTACATTTCGTGGATGAAGAAAATAATTAACCGTTTCTAAAAACTTCAAAGAAGTTGCAATGTCTTCTAACCCTGTTTTGATTTCAAGCTTAATGTTGCTTAATATCCTGCAAATAAGCCTACTAAAACCTACTTCGGTGTTACACACTTCAGTGTTCAACCATTTTCATTCTAGTAAAAACACTGCATTCTACGAATATGAATTTAGTTTCTGTGTCTCTGAGTTCAGGAAATACACTGCATGTCTGGGTGTTTTTCACCTTGATTTGTCCTTCCTGTTTGTTCAAACAAACAGTACGTGCAATGTTCATGGTCCTAAAAGCTGAGTGTTACTATTCTACATTTGAATATAGCTCTCCGCTGGGGATTTGTATGGTAAGGTACCATCTCTCACAAATGCAGATTTTTCTTTTTCTATTTATTTTTGAAACGTGCTAAAGTTTTCAAGGAAAATGAAAAACTTGCAAAGCGAAATGAGTATTAAGACTATACGTCACAACAGATGTTAGTTTTAGATGTTTAGTTTAAACTGCTGTCATGTTGTTTCTGTCTTTACAATCACTTCCATTCAGAGTATTTAAGATTCTCAATATGACAGTTTTAGTACAGTTTAATAAATGTACCTTAACAGCTGAAATGACTAATCTAGATGATACACATACCAGTCAAGGCTAGATGAAGAGCAAGTTGCTAAAGTTGGGTTCTTCATGCCATATTTAGACTTCCAAATAGGCGGCCTGTTTCTTTAGAAGTGGTGAGCGTTTGGCAGCTTGTGTTAGACGTGAAGGTATTGGGAGTGTATAGCTGCTGAGTTCTCTTAGTCTTCAGACTAGTGTAATTGTCCAAACACTGATTTATAAGCTAGGCTTTACCAGTTTCTTTTTACTAAGGCAGTACCTGCAACAGAGCAGTGCCTTCAAGATTTTTAATGCAGTAGATTAATTAGCTGGGGCTGATTAAATAACATACAAATCCAGATATTTGTGTCTGAGGACCATACTGGGGATATCTCTAACTGGAGGAAACGGTCTACTGCCATATTTTTAACTTCAGAATCAAGATCTTTGAGTAAGTAGTACCGGGAGCTGTACAGATGAACGGTTCGAAGGAATCAGCGGAAAGTTTGTGGGGCTTACCATACAAATGTTTTTATGACTTTTTATGAACTAAGAATTCTCTCTGGCTGTTAAAAGTTGATTCAGTTATACAGCTCATGCTATT